AACATAATACAAACTCAGTATATCTAGGAAACATCAACATAATACAAACTCAGTATATCTAGGAAACATGTCAACATAATACAAAATCAGTATATCTAGGAAACATGTCAACATAATACAAACTCAGTATATCTAGGAAACACCAACATGTCAACATAATACAAAACTCAGTATATCTAGGAAACATGTCAACATAATACAAACTCAGTATATCTAGGACACATGTCAACATAATACAAACTCAGTATATCTAGGAAACATGTCAACATAATACAAACTCAGTATATCTAGGAAACATGTCAACATAATACAAACTCAATATATCTAGGAAACATCAACATGTCAACATGATACAAACTCAGTATATCTAGGAAACATGTCAACATAATACAAACTCAGTATATCTAGGAAACATGTCAACATAATACAAACTCAGTATATCTAGGAAACATGTCAACATAATACAAACTCAGTATATCTAGGAAACACCAACATGTCAACATAATACAAAACTCAGTATATCTAGGAAACATGTCAACATAATACAAACTCAGTATATCTAGGAAACATGTCAACATAATACAAACTCAGTATATCTAGGAAACATGATGTCAACATAATACAAACTCAATATATCTAGGAAACATCAACATGTCAACATGATACAAACTCAGTATATCTAGGAAACATGTCAACATAATACAAACTCAGTATATCTAGGAAACATGTCAACATAATACAAACTCAGTATATCTAGGAAACATGTCAACATAATACAAACTCAATATATCTAGGAAACATGTCAACATGTCAACATGATACAAACTCAGTATATCTAGGAAACATGTCAACATAATACAAACTCAGTATATCTAGGAAACATGTCAACATAATACAAACTCAGTATATCTAGGAAACATGTCAACATAATACAAACTCAGTATATCTAGGAAACATGTCAACATAATACAAACTCAATATATCTAGGAAACATGTCAACATAATACAAACTCAATATATCTAGGAAACATCAACATGTCAACATAATACAAACTCAGTATATCTAGGAAACATCAACATGTCAACATAATACAAACTCAATATATCTAGGAAACATGTCAACATAATACAAACTCAGTATATCTAGGAAACATGTCAACATAATACAAACTCAGTATATCTAGGAAACATGTCAACATAATACAAACTCAGTATATCTAGGAAACATGTCAACATAATACAAACTCAGTATATCTAGGAAACATGTCAACATAATACAAACTCAGTATATCTAGGAAACATCAACATGTCAACATAATACAAACTCAATATATCTAGGAAACACCATAATGTCAACATAATACAAACTCAGTATATCTAGGAAACATCAACATAATACAAACTCAGTATATCTAGGAAACATGTCAACATAATACAAACTCAGTATATCTAGGAAACATGTCAACATAATACAAACTCAGTATATCTAGGAAACACCAACATGTCAACATAATACAAAACTCAGTATATCTAGGAAACATGTCAACATAATACAAACTCAGTATATCTAGGAAACATCAACATGCCAACATAATACAAACTCAGTATATCTAGGAAACATGTGAACATAATACAAACTCAGTATATCTAGGAAACATGTCAACATACTACAAACTCAGTATATCTAGGTAACATGTCTAATTATTACTAACTCAGTATATCTAGGAAACATGTCAACATAATACAAACTCAGTATATCTAGGAAACATGTCAACATAATACAAACTCAATATATCTAGGAAACATCAACATGTCAACATGATACAAACTCAGTATATCTAGGAAACATGTCAACATAATACAAACTCAGTAGATCTAGGAAACATGTCAACATAATACAAACTCAGTATATCTAGGAAACATATCAACATAATACAAACTCAATATATCTAGGAAACACCAACATGTCAACATAATACAAAACTCAGTATATCTAGGAAACATGTCAACATAATACAAACTCAGTATATCTAGGAAACATGTCAACATAATACAAACTCAGTATATCTAGGAAACATCAACATGTCAACATAATACAAACTCAATATATCTAGGAAACATCAACATGTCAACATGATACAAACTCAGTATATCTAGGAAACATGTCAACATAATACAAACTCAGTATATCTAGGAAACATGTCAACATAATACAAACTCAGTATATCTAGGAAACATGTCAACATAATACAAACTCAATATATCTAGGTAACATGTCAACATGTCAACATGATACAAACTCAGTATATCTAGGAAACATGTCAACATAATACAAACTCAGTATATCTAGGAAACATGTCAACATAATACAAACTCAGTATATCTAGGAAACATGTCAACATAATACAAACTCAGTATATCTAGGAAACATGTCAACATAATACAAACTCAATATATCTAGGAAACATGTCAACATAATACAAACTCAATATATCTAGGAAACATCAACATGTCAACATAATACAAACTCAGTATATCTAGGAAACACCAACATGTCAACATAATACAAACTCAGTATATCTAGGAAACATGTCAACATAATACAAACTCAGTATATCTAGGAAACATGTCAACATAATACAAACTCAGTATATCTAGGAAACATGTCAACATAATACAAACTCAGTATATCTAGGAAACATGTCAACATAATACAAACTCAGTATATCTAGGAAACATCAACATGTCAACATAATACAAACTCAATATATCTAGGAAACACCATAATGTCAACATAATACAAACTCAGTATATCTAGGAAACATCAACATAATACAAACTCAGTATATCTAGGAAACATGTCAACATAATACAAACTCAGTATATCTAGGAAACACCAACATGTCAACATAATACAAACTCAGTATATCTAGGAAACATCAACATGTCAACATAATACAAACTCAGTATATCTAGGAAACACCAACATGTCAACATAATACAAACTCAGTATATCTAGGAAACATCAACATGTCAACATAATACAAACTCAGTATATCTAGGAAACATGTCAACATAGTATATCTAGGAAACATGTCAACATAATACAAACTCAGTATATTTAGGAAACATCAACATGTCAACATAATACAAACTCAGTATATTTAGGAAACATCAACATGTCAACATAATACAAACTCAATATATCTAGGAAACACCAACATGTCAACATAATACAAACTCAGTATATTTAGGAAACATGTCAACATAATACAAACTCAGTATATCTAGGAAACATGTCAACATAATACAAACTCAGTATATTTAGGAAACATGTCAACATAATACAAACTCAGTATATCTAGGAAACATGTCAACATAATACAAACTCAATATATCTAGGAAATATGTCAACATAATACAAACTCAGTATATCTAGGAAACATCAACATGTCAACATAATACAAACTCAGTATATTTAGGAAACATCAACATGTCAACATAATACAAACTCAATATATCTAGGAAACATCAACATGTCAACATAATACAAACTCAATATATCTAGGAAACACCAACATGTCAACATAATACAAACTCAATATATTTAGGAAACATCAAGATGTCAACATAATCACAATACAAACTCAAATTCAATGTAACTAGGGGAAAATATGAACAAAAGTAGGAATTTACACTGAAACTCCCGAACAAGTACAAGGGGAATCATCTCAAACAGTCACCTGACGCAGGTGTAAACACCTATTTAGTAAATTGTGTATGTTAAAATCAATTTGTATTTAAATGACGGACAAGATTATCTATCTATGTCAAGATAGATAATCTTGTCCGTCATTTGTTCAACTTATATAATAGTATAGTGATGACCATACAAACTAGAAAACGCTTCACCTTCGTGTACTCCTTTGATGTTTTCATTTACTTGATTTTTCTTCCATTATTTCATTCGTTCACGTATAGTGTTAACAGTTAACACGTGATGAATTCTTTTCCACAGCGTTTTCACTTTTGAACATTTTTGAACAAAACAGCGAAAAAAAGATTATTTGAAAATATAATGAGATATTGGAAAAATATTGTTGATTGCGAGAGCAGTCCTTCTGATGTACGTTCCAGCTGGATCTCCAACACACGTAGTCACTGAGAAACATTCTTGAAGTCTAAAACTACAGACGATTATCGTCCTCATTTTAGGACAAGATGAAGATTCACAGACATGAAAATATGGCCAACAGTCCTTTTGATTCTCGGATATAATTTCTTTGAAAACGTGTTTCTTCTACACTGTTTGTTTCCGTGTATTGCTAAATCTCGCACTGGGCATATACAGATGGGTAGCGATCACATCTATAGGACGATTTGTCCTCCCTAACGGGCGTGAGGTATAACATTCTGTTAATCACGTGTAAATGCCAAAATAAAAAACACACGATTGGAGTGTAACATTAATAAAACTCAAAAGCGTCGTCAATGTCAGTCACCAGTATGTCTTGACAGAAGTTTTCCGTTTCATTCCCCATCTCATTCCCCGCCTTATTCCCCATCTCATTTCCCGCCTCATTCCCCGTCTCATTTCCCGCCTTATTTACCATCTCATTCCCCGCCTTATTCTCCATCTTATTCCCCGTCTCATTTCCCGCCTTATTCCCCGTCTCACCTCGCCCCATTCCCCGTCTCATTCCCCACCTCATTCCCCGTCTCATTTCCCGTCTCATTCCCCACCTCATTCTCCGTCTCATTTCCCGTCTCATTCCCAGCTCTCTACATTTCACTGTTTATTGCAACATCATAATGCAGATTACTAATGTGTGACGTCATTTCATTATATTCGTCTGACGTCACTATATGTGGATATACTTACGGGATAAATCATAAACGTATTTCGAAAACTGTTCAAGAAATTCCCGTTATTGTGTTGTATCGTCCGGAAGCAGCCTCGCTCGTACAATAAATATTGTCCCCTAAACCAAAAATAACAGCCACAACGCAATCAAGTGTCGAGAAGCAGGGAAGAGAGGAGCAGGGAAAAGGAGAGCAGGGACGAGGGGAGCAGGGAAGAGGGGAGCAGGGAAGAGGGGAGCAGGGAAGAGGGGAGCAGGGACGAGGGGTGCAGGGACAAGGGGAGCAGGGAAGAGGGGAGCAGGGACAAGGGGAGCAGGGAAGAGAGGAGCAGGGAAGAGGGGAGCGGGGAAGAGAGGAGCGGGGAAGAGGGGAGCAGGGACAAGGGGAGCAGGGAAGAGAGGAGCAGGGAAGAGGGGAGCAGGGAAGAGAGGATCAGGGAAGAGGGGAGCAGGGACAAGGGGAGCAAGGAAGAGAGGAGCAGGGAAGAGGGGAGCAGGGAAGAGAGGATCAGGGAAGAGGGGAGCAGGGACAAGGGTAGCAGGGAAGAGGGGAGCGGGAAGAGAGGAGCAGGGAAGAGGGGAGCGAGAAGAGGGGAGCAAGGAAGAGAGGAGCAGGGACGAGGGGAGCAGGGAAGAGGGGAGCAAGGAAGAGGAGCAGGGAAGAGGGGAGCAGGGAAGAGGGGAGCAGGGACGAGGGGAGCAGGGAAGAGGGGAGCAGGGAAGAGGGGAGCAGGGACGAGGGGAGCAGGGAAGAGGGGAGCAAGGAAGAGGGGAGCGGGAAGAGAGGAGCAGGGAAGAGGGGAGCGGGAAGAGGGGAGCAGGGAAGAGGGGAGCAGGGAAGAGGGGAGCAGGGACAAAGGTAGCAGGGAAGAGGGGAGCGGGAAAAGAGGAGCAGGGAAGAGGGGAGCGGGAAGAGAGGAGCAGGGAAGAGGGGAGCAGGAGCAAGGAAGAGAGGAGCAGGGAAGAGGGGAGCGGGAAGAGAGGATCGAGGAAGAGGGGAGCAGGGACAAGGGGAGCAGGGAAGAGAGGAACAGGGAAGAGGGGAGCAGGGACGAGGAGAACAGGGAAGAGAGGAGCAAGGAAGAGGGGAGCGGGAAGAGGGGAGCAGGGAAGAGGGGAGCAGGGAAGAGAGGAACAGGGAAGAGGGGAGCAGGGAAGAGAGGAGCAGGGAAGAGGGGAGCAGGAGCAAGGAAGAGAGGAGCAGGGAAGAGGGGAGCAGGGACGAGGGGAGCAGGGAAGAGAGGAGCGGGGACGAGAGGAGCGGGGAAGAGGGGAGCAGGGAAGAGGGGAGCAGGGCAGAGGGAGCAGGGAATAAATAAAGGGATACATGAAGTAATAAGGGGTAAAATGAGGGAAGGATGAAATGAGTGATTATACATGTTAGGAGGAATATGGCGAGAAGAAATTTGATGAAGAGTTCACTCCAGGTGGCAAGGTAGTCTGGATTATTCTGAAGTTCTAGCTACATAAAAAAATGATGGTACGTCAGATTAATTCCGACTAAGTGTCCTACAGTCCATATTTGGTCTTCAAATTTAAACATCTGAAGTCTGATGAGGATAGGGATATCAAGATTCCTCTTAGATCAGCATCGTCAATGATTAAATGAAATGTACAGTAACCCAGTGTAGGGCCGTAGTCAGGTCAAATACACCGATTTTATTTTTTACTTTGCTGATCAAATGATATTTGCAATATTCTTACTACATATATTTCAATATTTAGTTCTTATATTGTAGACATGTTGGTATAACGGTCCGACAGTTTGTACATAGAACACTTGGTTTCTGACCAAATGCGAAAAAAATGGACACAAGTATAATCAAACCAAATAAATGTTTTGAGAAAAAGCAAGCTAATTCTATTTGGTTGCTCTTGTGTAGTTTGTGAACTATGATTGTTACTCTGTATTGTTGTTATATATCATCGCTTATAAAGTAATTTTGAAGTCGATGAGCCGATAGACTCAAAGTAAATACAGAACTTGTGTGACCATGTTGGTACTATCTACACCTTGCGTCGGTACTTCGGTAACTGAGTTTATATCAGAAATGTAAGAACCTTAATAGATACAAAGTTTGGTTATTATGTATAGCGTGAACATTATAGAAGCAAATGTTACTGGGTTTTCTTTTTTACATCTGGTGGCCAATAAGTTATCTAATTTCGCAAAGAAGTTGTCTCGTGTGTTCGCGGCAGTGAAGGTAATTTCTGTGAAGGTATCACAATCAATGACTTCCCTGGATACCATTAGATACTACATATGTGTTCTTTTACACAGTGTACACAATTTACTCTAGTTTCTCTGTAGGGATTGACAGCAAGTAAGCAGCCTACAGGTGCGTGGTTCAACTCTCCATATAAGTTGGAATAGGATCGATCTGTGTTGACGTGGCTGTGTCCTAATTGCGACGAGCCTCTCGTATGCTGATCATTGAGGTAGCCACCAGCTACTTTCAATGATACCCTGCCTCGGAATTATTCTGGCCTTTCACAGGGTGATAAACTCAGTAAACCAATAACGGATTTCTTCACTCTTCAATCCTCTTCTTCAGACTCGGAAAAGCTGCATTATACGTACGTATAACATCGGCTGTGGTTACACCATGGCTGTAAGAGTGCTCCAACGTTCTACATAAGGACGATCGGGGTTCAATTTTTCGGACGTGTTTAGAATAAAGCTTCCTCTTACACCACGGGGACCTTATTGTCTACATTAAAGTGAGTAAAGCTAGCACACTTTTTAGTTGTATAAGATATGTATATAAAAGAGAATTTCGAGTTAACTTCTAGTATTCAATGATTTTAAATATGAAGTGTAAAACAACGACTTTAAAGTCTCTTGGTCCGAGGCTTTCAAACTATGTGTATCCTTATCGTAACTCATTGACGTTGGATAATTATAATTATAGTATATAGTTCGTATATTTCTGATAAAGTAATTAGAAAAAACTAGCTACGTGTTGGTGTAACACCACAAGTGGGAACAGAACACACTCATACACAAATATAATTCCATCTATTGTTTGTAATGAGTGCGTACTACATCCCCTCCGCTCCCCTATAAGTGGACGATTCCATTGTGCTACCTGTCTATTCATACTTGACAATACCGCGCTGTTTGTCACATATTGCAAACGAAGGGAATCGTCTGACTACTGAGTAGAACCAATTCTGTAGGGAGTGTATATACTCACCTGAGCAGGTATTCACGGCCACTCAGGTACGGGGAGGCCGGTAGCAGCGCTATTAACACGCGTGTAACGAAAGGGAGCAGACGACTTTTTTTCGGGTGTAGTTACACAGAGGGGTGAGTTTTACCTGTCCTGTGATACAGGTGTGATACGTTTTTTCGGGTGTTGGTAGAGATTAGTACCAATGACACGACGTCCTGTCTGTTTAGGTGACCATGACATAGACAGGTGTGGATATCCCGGAGTAGTGGTTATAAAATTGTTGTAACAATATAACGAGGATCTAACGGTGAAATTTTACTCCAAACGAAACTGACTTGGGATCAATTATCACATGAAGGTAATTAAACAACTGCAATTATTACCTGTGGACTACATATCACCTGTCATCTTTTGAAATATTTAAATTTCTGCTTGAAATTGTTGAAAAATCATAAATTTTTGATTTGGAGACGGAACTAAGTGTGTGTTATTTATTAGGAATCTCTATTAACACTGTTCGGATACAATGGCCAAGTTGAAGGGATTTTCTGCTGCTGGGATAAAATCGATGGTTCCGTGTTTACTGTCGGCGTTCATGCTAATGCTACTACTACCCGTGACAGTTTCAGGTAAGTCGCAATGATTTTTCAGCCTTTTAATTTGTCAAAGCATTATCGCAATCCAAATCGACAAACTAGGTAACTAATGTATTCAAAATTATATATATATTGCTTTTCTCTCAATATTTCATGTTAAAATTTGTTTCTAGTCTTGACCAGGTGTTTTAAAAACTGGACATGCAAGTTTCTCTGTATAGGTCAGATTGTTGAAAATAATCAGGCTAACAATGCTTTTGGTAGAACGATCATCTAGTCGGAAATTATCGACAGAACGAAACCTGCATATACTGGTCACCTCGACAGAACGACATATTGTTCCGTCGTTAGGTGTGGTCAGTGATCTATACAGCGATAGGAGTCCTCTTCCCCAAATTAAATCCGATAACTTCCCTTTTCAAGAATGAATAAAGAGTTTGAAACGTGCTTTGAAATCTCGAAAGGATTTTTTCTGGATGTACTTCTGAAACATTCCACAGGGAAATAGTGCGCCCGGCATTTTGCATTGGTAGATGTGCTTTAGGAACAAGCACGTGACTATACAAACGACATTTTGTAAAGATGACCCTAATACTACATAGATATCAGTACAGCTGGGTGTCGTTGTACACAGACGTCATTCAAGACAACTATCGCTAAATGTCAGGATATACAGAAAACGACCAGGAGGATATTTCGGGGAATCGTCCAAAAGATATAGAATCCACGTGGTCATCACATAACTCAGGCCACGTGTTTTATAGTTATACATTGGATGGATGGAGATGGATTCAGAAGCTGAGTGGTGGCGGGAAACGAGAGGGCGGGGTAGGGTAGAAGCATACTGGTGAATTATAACTTGTTTTATAAATAGTAATCGATAGAATTGGGGGATTTCCGGCATTCCTGGAATTCCAGGATACGTCACAGCAATAAGTACGCGAAAAGGTATAAATGATAATAGGATGACGTATATATACTGTATCTACTATGCTGATACGGAATTAAATATAAACCTGACAAGTATCCATCTGTACGAGGAACTGTTGACGGAACTGTCTTCTACTGTTATTGAACCAAAACGGTCAGTTCGGGTTGGATACTGAACATAAGTCATCATACGTGTGTTTGTGTGTGTGGAGAGGGGTGACTGGGTGATGAAGATGAGGAAGGAAGGATAGGAAAGGAGGAGGGAGGGGAAGGGGGTTGGGTGGTTTTGGAGGGACGAATTAATGTGTGAACTAAGGTAGTTGACAGAGTGTAAAGTTACAAATATGGAGTGGAACGGAAGTTGGATTTTCAGCTCATTTAGACATTACCTGCAATTTCAACAAAAGACATTAATCATATACATTTAATACGTATCACATTCCCACTTAACTTAGATGCGCGACTTTTGGCTGTCTCGCAACAGCCACGTGTTCATCATAGTAAGCCCTATATATACACACACGGAACCAACTTCAATACACAAAGTAGGCGCTTCATAGTCCGTGTCATTTTAATAAAATGAAGATAAAATTGTCGTGTCCTGGAAGGAATAAGATTAGAATATTAATTACAGAGTAATTATACTATCTAAATTACATGTTTATGCTTATTTTTCTTTTAATGGTTTAAAATGACTACATTTGATTTTGTCACACCCGATAAAAATTCCAACCTGTACAGATAGGACATACCTTGATAGATGTATCATCGATATTCATCACCTATTTCATTTAAAAAAACTGCGTAAAAAGTTTGAAACTTGCTCGAGCGTGTCCACAACGACCTTACAATTTGTGTTGTAGCGTACGTACATAGGAAAATCGATCACGAGGTCACGTGGTTCTCGGATGCCTTCAGTGTCTCTTGATAATTGTTTTCTATTAGTTATTGATAATTTTAATAGTAACTTAAATGTTTCTCTTACAGTCTTATGATGGTTGTTTAAAGTACGTTAAGAGGCGAGAGTAGAACGGGGTAAAATAACTGGCGTTACATTGTCGAAGAGAGTGCGACATGTTTGGGGAGTTTTAGAAGGATTGAGGGGTAGAAAAGACAGGGTAAATTCACCAAACAACAGGTACCTGTCTTCTCTCAAATATACACTTAACTTTTACAAATGCATATGATTCATAACTTTGCGATTGTGACGTCATGTTGTTGCCTGTTATGTTTGGACGCGAGTCTGATAATACACTATTATAAATTGATAAGAAAGCACCTATTGACCTATTATATCAAATTTTCAGGTACTGGTTTTTAAAGTTACGTCAGACTGTTATATATCGAACTTTTTTACGCGTTGGTGAATGGGGGGGTGGGGGTGGGGTGGGGGGTGGGGGGTGGGGGAGGGTTACATGGATATTCTCTCATCACCCAGCTGGTCCTACCCTCACTGTACTCGTTAGATTCGATACTTCATACAGCAAATGCTAAATAAAGAGAAAACATGCAGTGAATTTCATCATTGAATGTAAAAACGTCGTCCTTCCTCAGTGGTATTGTTGCGTATAGCACTCTCGTGGTTCAAGATCCATCCGTCTCCCTTTGGATTG